GTAAGTCATTCAACCTAGAATGATTTTGTTGTGTATCTACTCGCAGTTTTAACTCTCATTGTCAATTTCGCATCGGTACTCCTCTAATTAATTGGGAATGAACACGTATTGATCCCTCATAGGAATGTTTTTCTTTCTATACAACTAATAATGCTGGGCAGTCACACATCTATAGTGTGTCGGAATATTTGGACAATATACAGAAAGGGGATACAATACTGATGACGCTCATGTTGCAATACTCACAGTCAATTCGCTGGCAGAAAGCCTGTGATATTTCAGTGTTTACGACACACACTGCGCCGAGCAGACCCGCGACTCTACTTGCGTAACTCCTGATGGAGGAGGGGATTTCCGTGGTGACATAGCACTTGCGACACTTCGCCGGAATGATGACTGATTTTTAGACAGCTGGAATTCGACTTCAGCATTGTTTCAACATTGTGGAAATGTTTCTTTTCGGGAATAATTTTTGAGACATGTTACGTGCTGTTTTTCAGACATGTTACGTGCTGAATAATTAGCCATAGGTCATGAACTACAGATGTCTTCCAGGGCACAGTACAGAAGTGCCTCAAAACTTCAGCCGCTTTCAAGAAACCTTTGTAACATAAAAATCACAACTTTTTTCACTAGGTCTACTACATTTAAGTCTTGATACGCTTACTGTACAAAACTCGTAGGGGTGGTGGCTTGTCTTCAGCTTGTTCACGGTGTAATTTTCGCCGCCACGGGCTCGTCAAGTGTGAGGCTCACGGTACGGCTTTGTGCTCTCCCATAGTAGAGTACCTAGTGCTCTAAATTGTTAAGAACTTTTTTAAACACACAGAATATCGTTCCAAGCGCACTCAATTGTTACCCGCTTTTTTCTACACGAAAGCACACAGTGTTTACAGAATGAGCGCAATGTCATTGTAATTAAACGCTCACAAAAGCAGATGGAAAGGCATAGTACGCTTGAATCTGTCTATATGGCGTCCATCACGAACTCAAGTCTACTATCTCTATTCGCATGCGTTTGTTATCTTTATTTGTATAGACTACGCATGAATAATGAAAAGCAGTTGAAGATTGTGCTCTTTCTGTTCACTCTGCATCCTGTCATTTTCGGTGGAGGCGGAAATGCTGTAGGAACATGTGCTCAGATTTGGGTGCATGTTAAAAGAATCCCAGCTGGTCAAAATTTCCGGAGCCCTCCACTATGTCTCTCATAAATATATGGTTGTTTTGGGACGTTAAACTTCACATATCTATCTATCTATCTATCTATCTATCTATCTATCTATCTATCTATCTATCTATCTATCTATCTATCTATCTATCTATCTATCTATCTATCTATCTATCTATCTATCTATCTATCTATCTATCTATCTATCTATCTATCTATCTATCTATCTATCTATCTATCTATCTATCTATCTATCTATCTATCTATCTATCTATCAATCAATCAATCAATCAATCAATCAATCAATCAATCAATCATCTATCTATCTATCTATCTATCTATCTATCTATCTATCTATCTATCTATCTATCTATCTATCTATCTATCTATCTATCTATCTATCTATCTATCCCTGTGTCCTGTGTACTTTGTAGTCTATCCTTCATAGGGTGTCCCTATTCTAATCACATCGCCAAGCTAGCATTAACCAACTGGCCTATTTTGTCGCATTACTGGATACAAAGAAAAGAAGTCTATACAGAAAAAAAAAATTTTCTCTGCATATACAGACGACCGCGCTTATGAGGAACAGGAGTGATGGGACGCTTCCGACGATGTACTATCGCTGCTTACGTCACGTACTTCGGCGCACTTGAATACGCTGTGCCACCCTCATGGCTTTTATTGTGAACAAGACTCTCGTTTGGGGGGACGAAACGTCAAGCAAGGTGTGTTCTTTTGTTTCATTCTTTAGGTCAGTGTATCATTTCTCGCTTACATTACTGACACTACTTTGACCATGGAAGTCAACGACTGGGCCTTCATGTAGCGTCCGCACTCATTCGCACTCCTATGCGGTTTGCGCTCCTTCCATTTCCGCTATCGTTCCTCCGAGCGAATAACGCGCGCCCATTCTATAGCGAATGCAAATGGTAACTGCTGATAATAGCTCTGGCTCTGCACGTCACGGGCCGACGGCGCCCAACGATTTGTTGATGGAAAGTGCCGTCGCAGAGTATCACGACACTTGTGAAAGAAGCATCTGCGACGTTGATGGCAACTAAAATAGTTGCTCTACGCATGTTTCGACCACAATCGCGAATCTCCAAAACGTAGATATATACAGCTTCACTGAAATATATGTTTTTTCAATCAATCAATTAATCAATCAATCAATCAGTCGATCGATCGATCGATCATTTATTTAACGTACCTTCGTACAACCTTGAGGTCTTAGTGCAGGCGCACGTAAAAATGAAAGAATCAAAATAAACAATGCAATACAAATCTACAGAAAAAATAAGAAAATAAAATAAATCAAATAAAAAAGCGAAAATGCACAGAGAGAAATCACTCGAAATAGAAAAAAAATATAAAAGGAATGTGAGAATCATGGAATGACAGTAAAAAATAAAGGGGAATATACACAACTATATATATATATAACTGAAAAACGGTGAAGTGTAGAGTTTGTGCATTGTGAAAAATTATCATAAGATAGTGCAAATCTGAGATAAAAAAATGGTACTTGACTGTGAAAAACATCAAAATCATGAAAGTAAACATTATACAGACTTTGTACTCTGAAAATGATAGAGTGCTCAAAAGACGTTGGCAGGTTCATGAAATGGTCGATTCTCTCTAGTTAACTTATGCGGAATCTGAAAATTTACACATCCCAGAAGCGAAGGGCCAGATATTTTACCGTGAACCAGTATGTAAAGAAATAAAAGGTCTGAGCAATTTCGTCGGCAGTGAAGTGATGACAATGATAATAATCTGGCAGTGTTAAAACAAGGTTCATAATAATTACTAGCATTACGACAGTTGTAAATACCAATAAATTTTTTTTGACTCGCTCAATGGTGTCACTACTGCAGATTTAGCCATGCCATTCTAGAACATGGAAGCATATTCAAGTTCAGGAAGACATGTTGCGGTGTACAGTTTCTGAAAAGCTGTAGGAAAACTAAATTCTCGGGAAATTTTGCACACACACAACCGAGAGAACGAAGGCTTCGCGTGGTAGTACGTTTAGTTTGGGAAAAAAAATTAAGAATGCAATCAAAAGAACACCAAGATCAGTGAACTCATAAACCTTACATAACGACACGGCACTGACAAAGTATAGAAACGATACGATGGATGTATTGCGAGATATTTTCATGAACTTGGTTTTTAGGGGATCCAGGTAAAGGTTATTATTGTCACATCGTTCAAAAAAAGAACATAAATCTGACTGGAGCAATCAACAGTTGTAACAAACATTAATATAAGTAACTATTAATAGTTCTATTAATTAATAGTTCTATTAATTAATACAATAGTACTATGTACTAATAATATTATATTCTTGGATTTTAGGTTCCAAACACATACGATTATGAGAGGCGCCATAGTGGAAGGCTGCGGAAATTCGGAGCATTTGGTGTTTTTTAATGTGCACTGACATCACACCGTACACAGGCCTCAACCGTTTCACCCTCATAAAACTGTGAACTCCACGGCCGGATATAACCTGCAACCTTCCGGTCAGCAGCTGATCACCATAACCACCACTCCACCACGGCGGTCATACAAAAAGAAATATAGACTGCCTATGAGCGTTGTATTGAGGCGAGAGCCCATGAGGCTACTTCATCAAAGCAGAGGCACCAAAGAGAAAAAAAAAAAACGCCAGTCACATGCCAATGACATATTGTTGGGGCATCCGTGGGTAATTAGTTGATGGATATTACTGGGAGAGACCTCCTTTTAAAACACATAAAAAAGGCTGACATTGCTCGCTATAGCTGCACGTTTTTATTTCGTCGTCATGTGTGGCACCTAATGTACCGCTGTAGAAGAAAAATGGCGCGAAATAAAGAGGTCGTCGTTGTAACTAGAAGGCATGGTGGATAGCATAAAGATAGAAGCCTTCGAACGAAAATGCAAAAACAGGCTCAAAATGTTCGAAAGGCTAGTTAACGACGCGAGACCGGCTTAGGTCTGGTGTTCGCGTGAATCGCGGGTTTAGGGTATCGTTACCGTGACGCGAAAGTTTCTTGTGGAGACAAAGTTTTAGTAAAGCGGGAATGCATTTACGTGCCAAAGATGTGGCTGCGATGTCACGTAGCAGCGGGTAAATGTATTCAAAAGCGATGGAAAAAAAATACGAACCTGCCTCACTGCGTGTAGAGAAAAGAAATTTTATTTTGCCCGTAAAAGTTTGGACGGCAGCAGATTACGGACTAACAAAGAATTAAGAATACGCGATAAGGCGTAGAGCCTAACCGAATGCATACGCAGCTGACAGTGATTAAAAAAAGAGAGAGACATACGAAAGAGGAAGGCAGGGAGAAAGAGTGACATCTAGATAGCTACTGGTGTAGCACGTTAGCAGTACCGTTTTAGTTAGCTAAGAGTACTTGCCCTATTTTCTTTCTGAAAAACCACATGCGCAACTAAAAAGACAATCAAACGAACTCAAACGTGTTTTAGTTTCATGAAACACCACTAGACGTCACTACTAGCTTGGCAATTTTCAAGCTCCTAGATGGGCAACTGTCGTGAACAGAGAATGGACCCTGCAAACCTGGTAATCCCGAACCTCAAAAAGGCATCAAGAAAGCTAAGACTCCTTTATTAATATAATGTTTTTAGATTACTAAGAATGGAAGAAACGTAAGCCGCTGAGAAAATATGGAAGTTTATGTTGCATAATTCTTTGTTCAACCATTCTTTCACTAGGCTTTGCAAAGTTCGACAAAAATCAATTAAAAATATCTGCTAGCTCCTCCATGTAATTTGATTCTCACCTCGACAAGAAGCTTATAGGAATATTTTGTTC